TTCCAGTGGATGGATGAACTGGAATTTTGCTTAAGGAGAAATCGAAAGGGAAGTGGAAGAATCTTCTTCCCTTTTGAGATTGCTGGAAAATATCATTTTCCGCCCTTTTATGATGGATTCAAGGAAATTAGACCCAATGGAAGGTATTCATACAAATCTTACTATTGTTTCAGTTGCTAATCATGACAATGAAACTCTCTCTTTCCTGTTGGACGATATGGGAACCCAGAGCTCCATCTAAAGTAAAGATGTTGGATAATTGCCCATGTCAAAGTTAACACTTGTGACATGGTTCATAGAACTCACCCCCCCCCCTCCCCCTAACTGCTTGTCACCTTATTGGTGTATGTTGTTTAAGTTAGATTTGAAATCCGTTGTTCAATCTCTCTTCATTGTCCGATGACATTGGGTTTGTGGTCGAAGCTGGTTAGGGAGATGGGTTTACTGTAATTCCAAGGGAGGACTACCTCTCACTGCTTAGTGAAGCTCTCCTTCGGTTTGGAAGGTGATAAAGTGAAGGTGATGTTGGGTTGGATGATTTTCGCTGAGTTTTGGGTGGTTTGGATGGAGATAAATAGAAGGGTTTTTGAAGATTATGCAGGAGCTGGTTTTGCGGAGGTTTTTGTGAGCCCTGCGGATTTCTATTTCTTATGAGTTCAGGGGAATTACCCTCTCCTTAATTTGGGTAGATTGGAAGGCAGCTTCCTTTTAGTTTGTGATTTTGTGTTTGGGTGCTCTTCTGCTCTGTGAAGTTGTCTCTTTCTCTTTCCAGTTTCTGTTTGGGGTGGTTTGATTGACCACTCTTTCTGTTGTTTTTGCTTCTTCCCTTTTTAAATATTATCGTTTCTTTATCAAAAAAGATGCAAAATGCTTACTGAAGTCCTAGTTTTGACTGCAGAATTGGTATCTGACTGTATGAAATGTTGCACCGAGGATTCCGATGATTCCACAACAAAGGTAAGTAAAGTTATACACATGATGATTGCTGGAAGTTGAAATTATATTTTAATCTGCCGATATCCTGTTCGGTCTAAAATTTATTTTTCTTTGTTTTTCCAAAATAACTCTAACCACTGGTGTAGGGAAAAATTAGTAATTTATGTATTACATTATTACATTAAGGCTTTTATTGGCACTCCAAAAAAGTCATCCTGCACTCCTGACTAGTGACAATAAATAAATAAATAGATAAGAGATGAGTGGATGACTATTTTGGAGTCCCAATAACAAGTCCTTAAAAGTTTTTTGGCAACAAATTTCCACTGAGTTGATTGAATGACTTGAGCAACCTAAATCAAGATAAAAAAATAAAGATGAACGGGGCACTGGTGTGGTGTCAGCCAAAGAGTATTTGATGCTTAAGTTAGCATTTAGAAACTTTTATGTGCATTCACTTACTTTTAGATGGGAGCTTCATGAGATTTATGGGCCTGGTTTGGTATTGAGGTGATTCTAAAAAAAACTGGTATCAAAAAAAGCTGGGAGCTGTTTTTGTGTTTGGTAAACATTCAGCTTCAGCTTTTTTTCACAGTTTTGGGTGAAAAAAGGTCAAAAACAAGAAGTTGCAAAACCCAGCTTTGAAAAACCGGCTTTTTTTTCACATCTGTTTTACATAAAAGTTTACCAAACACTATAATACTGTTTTTTTTTTTTTTTTTTCAAAAGCACTTTTACAAAAAAGTTTATCAAACACTCTGCTGATTTATTTCACAGCTACTTATTTTCACAGCACAGCAGAAACAATTTTTTTTCAAAACACAGCAATACCAAACCAGCCCATACTGTTTTCAGTTCTTTGGGTTGTGGCTGGGCTGTGGATAACCATAGTGTTCCAGTGAAACGTTCTTGGATGATGAGGAGTTTGGTCTTCCACCCTCACTTTATTTTTCCCTCCCATTTTGTTGGGCAGATGGCGGTTACCTAAGTAACGTTCGCCTAAGGGGGGTCTCAATGGAATTACTCCAATCACCGTTGGAGCATAGATTTCCAAGGGGAAATCTTGTAGGATAGTTTAGAAATTGAAAACTCTGACATAAAATTAATCTAGAGTAAGTAGTCCCTAGATAGAGCATTATATAGCCAAACCCTATAACCCTTTGCATAGAACATTAATAACCACTAGACAGATTCCCAAATGTCATTAGTAACAGTCAAACAGCTTGTAAGAACCTATCTATTGCACAATCTAATTACTTGCAACAACTTAATGATGCTTAGGGCATGTTTACATACTTTATCAGGTATGCGAATGATAACTAGTTCAGGTATGAGGTATCCCATCTCTGATCTGCACCATTCCTGTATAATTTGTTTGATAAATTCCAACAGTCAACTTTTTTTTCCTTTTTTTTTAAAAATATTTTACTATTATTAAGGGAGGAGGGGAGAGGGTTTGAAACTATTACATTAATTTAGGGGAGGGGGAGTTTCGAACCTGAGACACATGGGTAGAAAGTAGAAACCCAACACCCTATCCACTAGGATACTGGACCACATGCAAATTCCAACAGTCAAACTTCTTGTGCTAGTACAACAACTAAATAAATTTGAGTTTTCCTTTCAAAGGAAAAAACAGGTGTAGGATGGAAGGCTTGGAAGCTCCCCTACTATTTTTAGGGATTGTTGATTTTCACCTGTTTTGGTTGCATGAGACTTGCTAGTTTAATGTCAAGACATGTTAGGGCAACTTTAGATGTTTTGAGATTTTTTATTCTAAGGGTATGCTATAAAAATGTTATCCATCAGTACACGATACCCAATTCTGCAAATTGCAAGTTTCCTTCGGAGGCTTCTTCTCTTAAGTCTTAACATTTATTTAATAGATAAGGAAATGCTTAATATGACAGTTTATAACTACAGATCACATATTCTGGTGCCATACTGGAAGTCTGCATGAGGAAACTGGTTTTCTATCCAGAAATTGTTGGCTTTATTGAAGAAGAGAAGGATCGGTTCTCTTCGGTCAAAGTTCAATACATTTTCAATTCTCCACCAAAGTTGATCCTGCTAGATGATGCAGGCGAACATAAGGAAACAATAAGGTGAGCATCCTTTTGTCATTCACAGTAGAAACAGTGGACACATCCCTCAAATTTTCTTTCACAAGGTTTCTCAAAGTATGGACGGCCATTTGATATACATGCTGTTGTTTTTTTCGTCATGATATCACATTTATCCTAAATAATGAATGTTGCCTACACCTGTCCATGCACACCTATAATCTCTTGCTTAGAAATTTTTTCTCCATTTGTATTCCTTAAGGGAAAAACCGCGTTTCTACGAACTTATGACAATTTTTTTTTCTCTATCACAGAATCGACAATTGGAAGCGTGAACATATCTTGCAGTTTCTGCAAGGGAAGGTAAAGCCTGCTTCTGCAATCTGAATACTTGTTATTATCGTCGGTCACTGCCTCAATCTGTATCTTAACAACCATGTATTTTTTGTATCCTCTTTTTAGAATATTAAACCGTGATACTGAAAAATTGAATATTCTGTCGTTTTTTATTTTCGGTGTGCGTGTGGGTCCCACATGGAACTTGAATAAACCTGAGATGAACTCTGTTGAAACCTAGTTTGATTTAGAGGCAATACGGGTAACCATTTTGACGACAAATACGAATGTTTGGAAATTTTCATCTTGCGCATTTATTCCAGGTTTTAACGTTAGGTTTTAGGAGTAAGCCAGAATTACCCAATAGGACCAGTATTCCACATTTTCATAAGTTCAGGGACCACTAATCCACGAGTTTTGAGTTCAAGAATGAAGCACAAAGTGAAAATACAGTAGACATTAGTCTTAGGAAGAAGAAAGTGTTGTATTAACCTGTTTTCGAAAATAAAGTGTCCATCGGCCTACTATACTCTACACTCCTGTTGGTGTTGGCTGGTTGTTGATCGTCGGTCTTATAAGAGTTGCATGTTATTTAGGGCGTCTAGAGAATTCTAAAGTGGGTGTCCAAAGAAACGTGAATTGGGTGCAACCAAACATATCTTACTTATAGTTTGGCACGTTTCTGACGTTCTGCATGACAATTTTTTGTTTTACAAATACAAAAATGGGTAAAAAAATGTGTTCGATAGATTGTTTTTTGAAAATAAACTCAGAAAGTGAAACACGCAAAAAACAACATTTAACCTAATTTCTATAGAACATTAATAGAAAATAAAAATATGTATGCCACCAGATCGTCACCATCATCAGCACTATAATATTCTCCATCATCTCACCGTCATCACCACTACCGCCTCCATGTTTGACACCACCACCTCCCATCACCATGGCCGCCACCACCTTATCCTCCATTGCCATCACCCTTGCCACAATAGACACCACTGCCATTGTCTCACCATGACCACCGCCACCACCCCTTGCCTCCATGGCTACCACTACTTCTACCGTCTCACAATCGACAATGTCTCACCATAACCACCATGATCATACCATCCACCGACATCTCCCCTCCTACCATGCCCATCATCACCTTCACTGTCTCAACGGTGGCCACCACCTCGCACCACCATCACCACATTCTCTACCCCATTACCCTCACCATGGCCACCACCACCTCCACCATTTCCACCACATTACCTGCGCTACTACCACCACTACAACCACCATTGGTACCAACCTCTCGTCTACCACCACCGTCACCATTACTTTCAAACACAAATTTATGCATATATACATTGACATTTTAAATATTAGTATCAGACGTGTTTCCAATGTTTTCGTTCAAAAAAATCATTGTCGGATTCAATTTCATGACGCATTCTTAAAACATAAAAATGTAAAATTCTATTTATTGTTTCCATTTTACAAAATAGTTATTCAGAAATAGTTTTGCAAAACGTTATCGGACAGGCCCTTAGTAACTTAATACTAACACCAACATAACAAACTGAATCAATCGAGAGGAAATATTTGCCTCAGATCAGATCTTAGAGACCATTAAAAAGCAATTTTGAAGAACCATATCAATTTCTAAGACCATAATACTCCCCACCATATATTTCATTAATTCCCAGTCAGAAACATTATACATCACAAGTCTATAAATATACATTTTTGTAGTATACAATACAAGTAGCGTACTAGAAGGAGTTCAGGCAGGACTACATTATATAACCCACCACCAGTTACAGAAAACCAGAATGGTTGGGGGGGCTGACTGCGCTAGATGGAGTTCAGGCAAGGACTACATTCAATAACATAAATACATTGAACGCCGTCATGCTAAGAATTCAGTTACAAATCCGAATCTGCCTCAACGGACTTTGTTGTGCTCTGCAATCCAGTTACTTCAAGACTCCTGGTAGCCGGAGCATTGATTCGTATCAATGGAAATGTGAGATGTCGTTCTCAAACTTGGGGGAAGTCGTCTTAATGGGCGCCCAGATATCTGCGCCATTACTTTGAGCAATGCCAATGGTAGAGGAGACAGGAACAAGAGAAAGACCTCTGCTTCTCAAGCTGTATGGCTTTAGTTCCTGATATATTAAACAATACATCAATATGTATATTAACCATCAACATTATGTCGCACTGCATTGCGTTTTTCTGCAATACCTTGATTTGCGGTATCTTCATTAATGTAATTCATGGGTTCTCCAAACAAACTTTGACATATCATTCTTACTATATTTCTAAATCCAGCTCAAGCTCACCTGAGTGTTAGCTGTTGGTGTGCTTTGGAGGTATGGAGCGCTCAACACCTAAATCCACCAACCAACATAAAAGTCAAATATCGACAAAGACTCGATACTTCTTATTTTCAATCTCAGGCAATCTATTAAAATCTAAAAGGAAGTATCCCATCTGTAAAATGGCAATCTCTGATGATGTGCAAGAAAGACTTTCTTGATAACCAAAAAGGGGATTATCGATTACCACTACGGTAGGCATTCACTTATAAGTCGGAAAGGCTAACCTTAACTTGTTCATGAAGAAAGCGTATGTACTCCATTGCCTCCAGAAGGACAGAAGCTGTATCTGTCTGCAGTAAAATACTTGGACATTAGACACACAGGACATACAAACAATTGTAGTATTGGAAACAAAATAAGCATAACATAAGCTGAGGTGTACGATGGATGGACCCAAGAACTCGGAATGACACAAATTCCATGAGATAAGTTGATAGGGAACAACTAATGTTGCAATGCCAACGTTCTAAATCATATGCTTCAAAAGCTTCGAATTTAATTAAACAAACTTGTTGTGTGCACCTTTCCAAATGGTGAAACAAGCTGCTGCAGAGCTACAATCCGTTCACCAAGCTTCTCTTTCCTCTCCTAAAAGTAGAACAAGAGAAATTGAAGTGATAAAATATAAGTAGCACACAATAGATATCTCTAGCAAGAAGGAAAAATTTAAGAGAGATCGGATTGAAAGCCCTAGTAGAATTAGCAAATAAAACCGCTGCCATGTGAAACTAATAACATCAGAGTGCATTTTAGACGAGCATTTGAAATATGCCTTCACCTAGTCACTTCAAAATTTCTCACTACAGTTGCTGAGGGTTTGATCTCTTTTCTGCATTCTTGCACTTACAAAACGCACCATTTTTAAGCATCGTACAGTTTTACATCAAGGTGGTTAATAGATACAGTATATACTTGGAATTTGTAACGATGGTCACTTGAAAGCATAATTATAGATATTAGAAAACAATTCTTACACATCTAAGGTGAATGCTTCAAATTTTAAGGCTTAAGCACATGATTGTGTGAGTCCGATTTTGCTCCCAAATACTCAATTAACACAAGTGCACAGAAACGGAAACTAGATCAAGTCACACTAATGTAGAACAATGTTTTACACATCATAAATTTCCCAACACCAAGTAGAAGTCGACACCAAGAAGAGAAAATTGGAGGGGAAGAAACCATTACACAGATGGATAAATCAGTATACTGTAATTTCGAATTAAGAGAAGTATACCATCAAACACACACACACCAGCAGGCGAGCACACAAATATATGAGGTCCCCAAGAATGTAAAAATTCAAAGGAGAGAACGAAAGGAAAGTACCTTTGTGGAGAAGGATAAATCAGTCTTATGTCGTTTAGACGGAAGAGAAGTAATACTGCTTTGGTCAACGGCGCAGGGGCTTCGTTTGTGTTCTGTCATCTTTCTTACATCTATCCCTTCTTCTCCCTAGTTTATCATTCGAAAGAAAAATCACTACGTGCAGAAGTAGAAGAATGACGAAATGAAACACACGATAATCAAACGCTAACCTCGACTTTTACATAACAGGAATTCATAATACTCACTACAGACGGCCTACTACTTCCATGGCACTAGGAAACAAAACGAATAAATTAGGTGCGAAATGAGCTAACAGCTACTGACCCCCTAACCACAGAAAACCTTTCTATTTTCTTTTGTTGTCTCGAAACAAATACATGAACCTTCGTCGTTTCTAGGATGGTGGTTCCATGCAAGTCTTGAAGAAGAACACAGGAAAAGAAAAATTTGCAAATGCAGGAATGCATCCGTACGTGTGGCAAATGTTAAAGACGATTACAGTTGACTGTCCGACCAGTAGAGTTTGAAAAACGAACCATTGAGGCAACAAAAGGCTAATTTGGTCTACGAGACATGCTCAGTTCCATTCTCTGCTAATGTACCTTAAAATACTCAAGTTTTATATAAACTATACACCGACAGCATGCGCAGATATCATAAACAAGACATTAGTCAAGCGTTTATGAGTTATCCTCAATTCGACGAGAAATTTTTCAGTGTGCCAATAATACGGCCGGACTCCTGGTACACTCAAGTTTATTTATATAATTGGTTGGAAACTTGAAAAAAAACAATTTCAACCGATTGTGTTATGATAATTGGTGTACCGAGCTGTGTTCCAAATACACTCAAAAATTTCTCCAATCCGACACACAAAAAGTAATACAATATTTTATACACCATATATAATTGAGTTTATAAAGAAATGAAATCAAAGGAACAAAGAGACAAGAGCTCCATCGTACAACGAATATATAAGCACAATCACCTACTCACACTAAACTAATCAATAACGTAATAATATTTTAAAAATCAAAACTCAAAGTCCTGTAGAATCCGTGATTTCATTAACTACATAAATAACTAAATAATAAGTCAAATTCAGATCAGAGGGTTAAAGTTGAATGCAATTTTATTTTTAGCACACGATGCATTTAAAAAAGCACAAGATGAGAATTATAGGATAAGCTTCTGCTTCCTTCTGAATGTAAGCGGAAAATGTTGAAATTACTATTTAAATTGACGTTTAGTGGGCCCAAACAGAAGAAAAAATATAAATATCAACTAATGAAATGAACCATGTTCGTGAACCTAAACCTAAATGCATGATTGGCGTACACAATCATCCCACTTCATTTAATATCATTGGACTTTGTTTGAAACTGTTTTAAAATTGACTGAAATCGTTTTTAGTAAAAATATATTTGGATTCTAAAAATACTTGAAATGTTTTATGCAAAAGGTACTTGCACTTCAAGTATTTTTTTAAAATTTACTTATACTTTTAATAAAAATTAGTTCCAAAAACATTTCCAACTAAAATGACTTTCAGCCCTTTTAAATGTTATATCAAACGAGGCCATATACACATACATATATAAATAAAGCTATCTTCGACTCAACCAAGGGTTGGTTTGGTATTAATGTTTATGGAAAAAAAGTTGTTTCTGATGTGCTGTGAAAATAAGCAGCTATGAAATAAAGCAGCAGAGTATTTGGTAAACTTTTTTTGTAAAGTGCCGTGTGAAGAAAAAAAAAGTAATAGTATAGGTTTGATAAACTTTTATGTAAAAAAAGACGTGAAAAAAAATCGATTTTTCAAAGTTGGATTTTGCAAACTTCTTGTTTTTGATTTTTTTTCACGCAAAATTGTGAAAAAAACTGAAACTAAATGTTTACCAAATATAAAAAACTGTCAACTTTTGTTTATAACCAGGTTTTTTTTGGAATCACCTCAGTACCAAACCAGGTCTAAGTACCACTCAAAAGTACAATACTCATCTGTATTTAAGACAATCATCATTCATCATTCATATTCAATTTTCTAATTATATATATTCACATAAACACATTGAATGATTATTATACTAGTATTAAATACATATAAGCATTATAGGCGACCCTTCAAATATGATATCATATCTCCAATGTCGACGTAGTCAAATTTAACTTTAGACTAAAATACAAAATAAAAACACTAAGAGATGCTCAATCTCTCTCTAATTACCAAAAACAAGAAAAATTAAGAAAAACTACCTAAAAATCCCAAAAAATAATAATTTTAATGAAAAAAAAAAATAAAAGTGTAGTAAATAGTATCGAAAAAATATTAAAATATAATTTTTCGTTAAAAGTAAACAGCATTAGAGTATTTCATTAAAACTTCCCAAAAATTATGATGAAACATCTGACTCCAAATTTTCCGGTGGATTAGAGAACACAATACTTGAATTCATACTTTTCGATAGAGAACACAAATTATACATGCAAAAGTTGAAAAAAAAAGAAAAAAGAAAAAAGAAAAGGCAACTGAAGTGAAGTTTTGATGAACTGACCGAGAACGTGGCGCCTGCATTGCAGAAAGAGCTAACGATCATACTGTGAAGCTCAAGACAGTGTCTCCAAATTCACCAAAACAACTCTTAAAATCTACAGAAAAACTCGGTAACCCAGTTACTGCGAAACCACAAAAGTTATCAGAAAGCTCAAATTTCAGTGAATTATCTCAATTCGCAAACATGGGACTTGTCTGAAATTACTGAAATTCAGACCCAAAAAGATCAATTTGTCTCAAGTGTCAGTACGCAGAGAGAGAGAGAGAGGGAGAGAGAGAGAGAGAGAGAGAGGAGAGGAGAGAGGAGAGAGAGAGGAAGAAGAGAGGAGTGCAGAGAAGGTGAGAGTGAAAACTGGGGTGGGGGTGGGGGAGGGAGAGAAGAGACAAGGGCTTCGAAAGTGATTTTATAAAGTAATCATTTTTTAATATAAAGTTGTTTTTGGAAATTAAAACAAAACGTACTTTTGTTATTTCAAAATTTTGAGGTTTATTTGACAGCTAATATACAACCGGGCAGACGGAGAAAAAAGTGGTTGATTTAACCCCAACTTGACGTCATTCCTCTAACCATGGTTGAATGACCCCTTTTTTTTTTTTTTTTTTTTTTCGGGTACAAGATTGAATGATTGAGTATTTTGGCTATATATATATATATACACATTTATTATTATTATTATTTTTACGCTTAATTGTAGTAATGAATTATGAATTTTACTCTAAGTTTAATTTAGTTACTGAGCTCTTATACTAGTTTTTGTACTCTTCAAACTTAATAATGTGTTGTAATATTGGTCATTTTTACTAACGTTGTTTTTTTGTTTCCAGTTAAATCTACGGGTATATTATGAACTTTAACTTAAAATTTAAAAAAAAAATAGAAAGGGTTAAAAAACAAATAAAAATTTATAAATAAATATCTAAAACTTAAAACAAATTAAGTTTGTACTATAAGTACAAAAAAAAAAATTGAGGGACTTTAGCAACTTGTAAATATTAGGCAATGCAATTTCAAAGTCGATAGAAGATAGAACTGTCATTGGACATTAAAAAACTAACAAGTCACATATTGAACTACGAAAATTTACCTATGTATCCAATTTTCTTACACAAAAAAATACATGGTTTTTTTTTCTCATTTTTAATTTATTTTTTAATGATATGGGATGAAGTTCCAAATATACCCCTCAATTAACAAAAAAAAAAGATAGTGTTAGTGAAAAGGGCTAGTGTACAACACATTATTAAGTTCGAGAACTAAATAAACTACTATAAGCGTTTAGGGACTAAAATTAAACTAGGGGTAGCATTCAGGGACCCTCGCTACAATTGAGCGTATATTGTATTTTGCCTATTAATTCTTTTGCCCTAGGTTTTACTAAATGATTTTGGTGTTATTCTAGGGTCCTTTTCATCCCACAAAATAGTGCAAGCCAAGAAAGAGACCACAAAAGCCCAATTAAGGTCAAAGCCCATAGAAGAATGAGAAGCCCTATGCCCCAGATAGTTAAAAGAGGATATGCCAGAGTGCTAGAGTTGACTGCTCACTAGCCTAGTTCGATTGAGCAACATAAAGTACTCTCCGACCGCCAAGGACACGAGGGAAGATTGACAACTTTGTGGCACAAGGCTTTAGGAGTATGCCTACTCAAACACCAATCAAGTGATGTGCCAATCACCAATCAAAAGCAGAAGTTTTGGACGAGACATAAAGATGGTCGGACCATTGCTCAGAATGGCATTGTTGACTAATCAAGACCGAGAAAGTTGTTTCACACATATCGATCTAGACAAAAGTGCAATCCCGACTGAGCAAACGTCACTTCACCGCACAATGTCAACTGATACTTAAAAAAGTTGTTAGTATGTTAGACAATGCAAGTGGTGCATCAAATGCTAGCAAGGTGAGAGAGATACTTTTGGGTTTATGGATAGCCTATATAAAGGGGAGGGAACCTTTTGTAAGATGGTCGAACGACTAAAGAGAGAAAAATATAGCCTTTAGCCGGACACTTTTTGTAAGCCTTCGAGTAACACCGTGGATGTAGCCCAGTTTTGAGTGGCGAACCACTTAAGTCCTAAGTCCATTTCATTTTAGTTTCAATTCAAGCCCACCGATTGCTGTTGTTTTAAGTTTGTTAACTAGCAATTTTTTAGTGTTAACATGAGTTAAGAGTAATGTTACGTAGATAAATTGTTTAGACCAAATTTGAAACCATGTGATGTGTCACCAATAGGAAATAAGCATGTTGATCAACACTCAAGTAATAATTTAATCATCAACAATCATGTCATATGGTTTAAAAAATTTAATCAAAATAGTTGGCCTCCCTAACATTACCTTAATATTGAGTATGTCGTTATTATTAGTGTCACTACTATGGAGGCGATGATGGCTAACGGAAAAGCTGGTATTTTTTTGAACCTCATGCATGTTCAAGATGTTCCCTTCTTATCTCAAGGGGAGTGCCATGAGATGGTATGCATAACTTTTGTCACGATCTTCATAAGCGACATGATGCTCTGTTCAACATAGAGTAGACTGGGGACGAAAGCATGAGAAGTTACATAAAACAATTTCGAACTGAACTAGCTGAAGTCGAGAGGCCGAATGATCAATTTTAAGATTAGGCATTCAAGAAAGGCCGATACAACGCTAGCGAGGCTGAAGAGATCACAACTAAGAGTGGGCAAAAAAAGGGAAAAACCGAGAAATGAAACTGAACCAAGGCCAAAAAAATCAAAGAAAACCAAAATTGAAATAAATCGAAGTGAAAACTTAAAAAAAAAAAAAAAAAAAGACTGGTCAAACCGATTTTGCTTTTAGATTTGGTTTTGGTTTTTGAGAGGGTGATATTTGATTGATGACTAAATAAATAAATGTTAATCATGATAATTATGTATGATTACAATTATTTTGTAATTATGTGGATGTCTACCCGGTTAAAACTTAAAATTTTCACTTACAAGTAGGCAAAAATATTATTAGATCGTACTACTAAGTAACTACTGTATAATATCCTTTTTTATAAAACTATAATGTAATATGTGTTGTAGGCATATTTGATTGAACTGTATTTAGGGCTAGAGAGGGAGAGGGGCTGGCAACAAGAGAGAGAGAAGAGAGAGATTTAATTGTGAGGTGTGTGTTGTATCACCCCATTGTGCCTTTATTTGTAGTAGTATGATAGGTCAAATCCTTACCCTAATAGAATTACAACTCTAATAGGATATTAATTACTAAAGGGAATATTCCAAGATATCCCTAGATACACTAGGACTTATACAATCACATTCCTATTCTAAATATGACCACAACACTCCCCCTTAAGTGTGGAAATACTCAAACAAAACATTGCGTCAGATCTTCAACATATAAGGTAGAACAGTTGATGAAGTTGGTGGCACAACCGGCGAATGTGAGTCTTTAATATAAAGAAAGTATGCATTGGTAGTAAAATTCACAAAACCTCGCTATGGTAAAGCCTAAAGCAGGTGAAAACCCCTAAACTAAGGAGAAAAGTGATAAGTATGCATAATTTCTAAATTAAACGTCAAACAGGACGAAAGTAGTAAACTCAACAGAGTCTAATCATCCCAGGATGGGTGCCTTATCAAAATCTCGTTAGATAGCAAAAACCCAGTGGGTAAAATTGCTCCTAATCGTAGGAAAAAAAGTACATAAAGATCAAGCGAGTGTGCTTCATGATGCTCCCCCTGAGTTGGACATAACTTCCAAATAAGAGAACTACAAGCAATTCAACTCCGATAAGTTACGTATACTGATTCCTTGGACAAGCTTCTGAAAAGTAGACTTGGGCAATGACTTGGTAAAGAGATCGGCCAGGTTATCCTGGGACTAGATTTGCTTGACTTCAATGTTTTAATGATGTTGTTGCTGGTGAGAATAAAAGACCTTGTCTCCCTTAATGTATCCCTTCTTTAACTGCTCGATACATGTTGCATTGTCTTTAAAGATCGTCGTAGGAAGGTTAACAACGGTAGTAAGACCAATAATGCTTCTAATAAGTTCCATGACTGCCCTTAACCAAAAGAACTCACACAATGCTTCATGCAAGGCGAGGATCTCAGCATGGTTTGAAGAAGTCATAACTAGCATTTGCTTAGTGGACCTCTAAGATATAACGACGTCTCCAATGGTAAAGACATAGCCCGTTTGAGAATGTGCCATATGTGGGTCAGACAAATAACTAGCATTTGCGTAATCAACAAGGCGGTAATTAACCAGATGACCGAGGGGGGGCGGTGGCTCCTCTCAAGGATTCGTGGGTGTAGAACAAACCCAAATCCATCGTACCCTTGAGGTAGCGGAAAATGTCTTTAACACCATTCCAGTGTCTGTGTGTAAGTGCATTGTTGTATCTAGCCAAAAGATTAATAGCGAATGAGATGTCAAGTCTAGTGCATTGGGCAAAGTACAATAAAGCACCAATTGCACTTAGGTATGAAACTTTAGGCTCCAAAATCTCTTCCTTATCTTTCATTGGGACGGAAGGGATCTCGTTTAACAACTAGAGTTTGAACGACCATAGAAGTACTCGAAGGCTTCGCTTTATCCTTATTAAAACATCGCAACATTTTTTGGGTGTAGTTCAATTAATGTACTAAGATTTCATCCGAACAATGCTCGATCTCCAGGCCGAGACAATATTGAGTTTTCTCAAGATCTTTTATCTCAAATTCTAATTTTAAGTGAACAACAATTTCCTTAAGCTCTGCAGGAGTTCCGATGAGGTTCATGTCGTCGACATAAACTGCAATGATCGCAAATCCGAAATGTGACTTCTTTATAAACACGCATGGGCATAATTCGTTGTTCATATAACCCTGGTTTGTCAAATATTCATTCAAACGGTTATACCACATCCGCCTAGATTGTTTCAATCCATAAAATGATCTCCTCAATTTAACAGAGAGAGTGTTCCATGGTCTAGAACTATTTGAACTAGTCAATGGAAATCCTTCTGGAACTTTCATGTGGATTTTCGTATCTAGATTCCCATAGATATGCACGGTTATCACGTCCATAAGCTGCATATTCAATTTTTTGGAAACTACCAAACTGATAAGGTAGTGGAGCGTTATGACATCCATTACGGGGGAATACGTCTTCTCGTATTCAATCTTGGGGCGTTAAGAGAAGCCTTGCACTACGAGGCCCAAGGCTAGCTTTTGGGTTGGTGCGAGGAAGCCCAGTCAAGGTTGGGTTTCGGGTTTTTGGGTTGGGGCAGGTCAAGCCCAGCAGCAAAAGCTACGGGCAAGTAGACCGAGGGGTGATGAAGCCCAGCAAGCAACACAGGCTTGCTGCAAGTGGGCCAAGGACGCAAAACCAGGCCCAGTAACACACGGGTTG